ATTCTGCTTCCATGTATATCTGCACACCAGAAGAGGGCACCATGTGGTTGTGAGCCACCATGTGGTTGCTGGGAATTGAACCCTGTCCTCCAGAAGAGCAGCCAGTGCTCATAACCAATGAGCCATCTCTCCAGCCCCTGGCCAGTCATTTTTTTTTTTTAAGTCGTGTTTATTTTCACAATCTTGTCTAAAGGCCAGGGGTGGTAACATGTGCACAAGTTCCAAGTTAGTTCTCTGTGTGAGCAGAAAAGGATTCTACCCAGCCTGAGCACACCACAAGTAGCAACTATTGGTACCTTCTGTTGGGTTCAACGTCAGTGAAGATCACTTTCTAGAAGTTTAAATGTGTAGGACCCCAGTTTTTGTGTTAGCATGGGATTATTCTGAGCACACAGCAGATAGTTTACTGGGTCAGTGTTGGCAACCTCGGGACCACCAAATGTATTTGCAACATTTCTTTCTTGTTATTGCTTGTTTTCAAGACAGCCCTGGTTGTTCCAGAGCTCCAACTCTCTCAGTAGATTAGGCTGGCCTCCCAAGTGCCGGGATCAAAGGCGTTACCACAACCTGCTTCTTGCAGCAGTTCCCATAGGGCAGTTTCAACCAGAGGGGTTGCTGTGTGAGCTTGTCAGACTGGGCTGGGAGCTGTGGTCTCTGTGGTTATTATTTTTCTATCCGTTAGCCTCCTGATTTTTAGTAGCTCCATTATCAGTTTCTTTTCTTTTCTTTCTTTGTTTTTGTTTTTCGAGACAGGGTTTCTCTGTGTAACTTTGGAGCCTGTCCTGTTCTTGGAGACCAAGCTGGTCTCAAACTCACAGAGATCTGCCTGCCTCTGCCTTCTGAGTGTTGGGATTAGGGATTAAAGGTGTGTGCCACCAATGCCTGGCGTGTTGCAATTCTTTAATGTTGCATTTGTTTAACTCTGTATGTCCTTTTTTTTTTTTTTTTTGATTCTCAAGACATAGTCTTGTTTAACTTTGAAAAGCTGTGTTACTTTCTTTGCCTGCCTAAAACAACTGATTGTTCTAATAAAGAGCTGAATGGCAAATAGCAAGGCAGGGGAGAGGAAGTGTGGGACTGCCAGGCAGAGGGAATAAATAGGAGAAATCTAGGCTTAGAAGAAAGAAGAATGAGGGGAGAGAAAAGGAGAGGAGGTTACCAGGGGCCAGTCACAGAGTAAAGAAAGAAAGACATAGAATAAAGAAAGGTACAAAGCCCAGAGGCAAAATGCAGTTAAAGATAAATGAGATAATTTAAGTTAGAAAAGCTGGCTAGAAACACCAATCTAAGGCCAGGCATTCATAAGCAAGAATAAGTTTCTATGTATTTATTTAGGAGCTGGGTGGCAGGCTCCCAAAGAGTTAAACAACAACAGCAGATTGGTGGATTTTCAAGTTCATGGCTTGGTGGGTTTTTGAGCTCAGGGACTGGTGGGTTTTCAAACCCAGAAGTGAGCTCAGACCTTTTCCCCTACAGCGAGGAGACAATCGCTTCTATAATTTCTTCACAGTCATGGAGGGGCTCTCCCTCCTCTTCAGGTAAGTATGTGGCTGGATGACGACATATCTGTCATCTTTTTGGATGAAGGGAGGGGCTGACATTTCCCCTTAGTGGACACACTGAAATGGACTAGTCCCTGGAATGCAGCCCACTGGAGTCTGGCAACGCTGGCCTGTAGTCAAAGCCAGTGAGCATTGCAGATGCCTCTGGAGAGTGAAGATGGAGTTTCTTTCCTGCCTGGTCCCACTGCTGATTAGCCCCAAATAAGCGTCATATTAGAGTGAATATTCTTACCACATAAGGAGAGTCAGGGTTAAGTGGTCTTATGACTGCCTCAGTTCCTGTTTTGCTGGCAACTGGGTGTCTTCAGGCTTAACGATCTTTGCAAGACCGTGTAGGTCCTCTATCAGGGCTGTGCGGACTGCATGACAAGAAGAGTTCCTTCCCTAACCAGAAGCTGGGGGAGGTTGCCCCTTGTGGTGCGTGGAACGGGGTACAGAAGACCTGTTTCTGTCTCAAGCAGGCTCCTGCCTTTCCTTCCATCTGCCTCCCCCAAATTTAAGAGGTTTTACTTTAGGATTAGACATGTATCCCCATGCTTGGTCACCTCCTATCATGGGAGATAATTGCCCATTTAGGTGAGCCATCCTCAGCAGAATCACAGGTTGGATCCCAGTCAGATGCTGTAGCCACAGGTCTGTAGGGCCATTGCATGCATGCACACATTCATTTAGTAGTATTTATTCAGAAGTTATACACTCCCATTTCAAATTCCCAGTCTGTCTATTTCTCTGGAGACCAATAACTGAGGTACCTGGGCATTGCATTGAGGCTTTAGATGCAATCTTCTGTGGGGTGATTAAGCCTGCACTGGTTCTTCCTGCCTATATCCCCAGGGGTCCCTACCTGAACTGGACTGCCAGCCTAGTCTTGTCTTCCACTCAGAGACTCTGGTCCTGGGTCTCACAGTCCTTTTGGCCACTAGAAGAGGTTCCCAGAATCCCTTTGGGAATCTATTCTTCCAGAGACTTTTGGTTGGCTGAGAGGCCCTGGAGTGGCAGTCACTCTTGAGCAACTGGGGGGTGGGGGTTGTGGTGCAGGAGATCTCACTGGGGGCCTCCAGACATGTTGTGGGCCTCTTTCTGGAATAAGCCACTCGCACACCGTTGAAAGTGGAAGAGACGAGATGTCACTGGTGGATTGGAGCCAGGATATCTCCTGAAAGGTTTCAATCTCCAGTCCAGTTTGTATTTTCATTTTATAGTTTAAAAACACAAGGGGGGGGGCAGGCAAAGCGAGACTTTATAGAAGCCTGAGTGACTTCTGAGGCAGCACAACAACCCATTGCTTCGGCTATTTCTCCAGGTCATTCTGTTCCAGGTAGCAAGTGAAGTCACGCTTGGAAAATAGACGGTACAAGCAGTGCTCTAAGTAAAGCACTAAATAAATCAGTATCTAATAAGTGGTCTTACTCTACTTCACTTTCACATCTGTGTTTATCGCTGCATTATTCTAGAAACTGGAACTAGCCTGATGGCCCTCCGTAGATGAATGACAGCAAAAATGTGGCATATATAGACAGTGGCGTACTATATGGTCCTGAGTTAAAACGAAACTCTGATATTTGCAGGAAATGAATACAACTGGAAATCATTATACCAGGAGGAAAAAAAAAAAAGCCAGACTCAGAAAGACAAACACTGAATGTTTTCTCTCATATGCAGAACTTAGACTTAAATTTTGTTTTAAAAAAATTCCTAAAATTAGCCAGGCGTTGGTGGCATGCCTTTAATCCCAGCACTCGGGAGGCAGAGGCAGGTGGATCTCTGTGAGTTTGAGGCTAGCCTCCAGTCTCCAGTCTCCAGAGCGAGTGCCAGGACAGGCTCCAAAGCTACACAGAGAAACCCTGTCTCGACAAACCAAAAAAAAAAAAAATCCTAAAATTACATTTATTATTTATTTAGTGTGTGTGTTTCTTTTGGCACAGGATCTTTCCATGTTGATATTCACTATGTAGAACACGCTGGCCTCTAACTTGCAATGATCTTGCTTCAGCCGCTCAAATGCCAGGGTTACAGGCATTCCCTGAAACTCCTGGTTTAAAAATTTGAGTGTGGGTGTGTATGCATATAAATACCCCCCCAAATAAACATGATGGTGAGTGCTGATAATCCTTGCATTTGGGGGATGAAGACAGGAGCATCAGGAGTTCAAATCATCCTTGGCTACTTATGAAGTTTGAGCTACATGAGGACCTCGGATCAAGAAACCAAAAAGAAAGGCTTTTTGGCTGGCAGAGATGACTCAGCAGATAAGAACTCATATTGCCTTTTTTGTTTTGTTTTTTGTTTTTCGAGACAGGGTTTCTCTGTGGCTTTGGAGGCTGTCCTGGAACTAGCTCTTATAGACCAGGCTGGTCTCGAACTCACAGAGATCCGCCTGCCTCTGCCTCCGAGTGCTGGGATTGAAGGTTCATATTGCCTTCTTAAAGGGCCCAAGTTCAGTGTCCAGTACCCACGTTAGGTAGCTCACAACTCCCTGTAACTGTCGATCCTGGGGGAAATCCAACACCTTTAGCCTTTCAGAGTACTTGCACGCACGTGCATGTACGATCACACGAACACACATGCTCACAGGTGATTTAAGAAGAAATAAGCTGAGCATGGTGGTTCATGCATTTAATCCCAGCGTTCAGGAGGCAGAGACAGGTAGATAGATCCCTGTGACTTCAAGGCCAGCTTGGTCTACATAGCAAGTTCCAGGCTAGGCAGGGTTAGATAGTGAGATCTTGTCTCAAATAAAGACATGAACGAACAAACCAAAAAGAGGACATGGAGAGCCCTTGCCTAGCGTATAAATTCCTAGCCAGCACTGGACAAACAGAAACAAAACATCAGAAAGAGGAGTCAGAGGGTACAGTGCTGGACTTGCCGCCCTAGAATGTACGAAGACGTGGTGGGTTCCATCTCCAGCGCCAGGATGGAAGTGCAGGCGTGTAGTCCTAGCACTTGGCAAAAGAGGCAAGAGACACAAAAGTCCTAGGTAGTCCTTGGCTCCGCAGGAAGCTCGAGGCTAACTTGGGATACACAAGACTCTGTCTTGAGGGGAAAAATAACACAAAAAGAAGTTAGCTGGATAGGATGTAAAGAGATAATGGGAGATTGAAGGCGATTTTCTGAACTGACGTCAGGGCAGGACAATGCACTCTCCAGATGCCCCCTTGAAATGAAGAGGATGTTTACAGAGTTATGGCAGAATATACTGACTTCACACACCAACAGGTATTTCCTCGGCCAAGCGCCATGTTCCTTGCAATTATCTTCTGGGAAAAGGCTCGACGGGGGTAATGTAAAAAGCAGCTCTTTGTCCAGTAAGAAAAGAGGAAACATTACAGATGTATCTTACACACTATGTATTTTGTAATCAGAGCTGTAACAGTATAATACGGCTAAGAATAAAGAGTCTGCACTATACTGGGTGATGGTGGGGCACACATTTAATCTCAGCACTGGGGAGGCAGCGGCAGGAGGATCTCAGTGAGTTTGTGGCTTTCCCCCTAGAATATTTCTCCATTTTCCATATCATTGACAAAGAAGTCCCCCCACTGTGGTGCCTGGAGAGAGGAGAGGTCACTCACTGGTCACAGATATTTGGATTGGGGGACTCGTCTTAGAACTGTACCCATTGGACACCTCACACTGGTACTCCCCGGCATTCTCCCTCCTGACGGGATCTATGCGGAGCCGGCTGTTTTTCTGGGACAGTGTCATCCTGCCATTGAAATACAGGCTCTGGTGATTGAAGAGCCAGCGGATGGAGAGTCCGGGGGCTTCCGGGAGGCAGGTGAGGGTCACAGAGCCGCCATCTGTTACTGTGGTGCTGTCTGCTTGGAGGGTGGGCTGTGCCACAGGCTCTGTGAAAAGAACAGAGGAGGGGACCGAGTGACGGTGGCTCACCCTCAGATCCCAGCCAGCCCTCTCTGGTCCACGGAGACCTGGTAAGGCCTCCGGGGTGGAGAAGCTGGGCCTGAAGCTGTAGGCACGCACTGCTTTAGATCCGCTACCCACGGTCTGTGTGGCCCCGATTCCGCCACTGTGCTTCCTGTGTCTCTGTTTTCATAGAACAGGGCGCGTGGCTGGGCGGCAGTGGTGCACGCCTTTAATCCCAGCGCTAGAGAGGTAGAGGCAGAGGCAGGTGGAGCTCTGTGAGTTCGAGGCCAGCCTGCTGAGTTCTAGCATAGTCAGGGTTACACAGAGAAGCCCCTGTCTTGAGAAACCAAAATGATGATGATTGATGATAAGGCACATGACAAATGGTCACCCCTGTGTCCATTAGGTGACATAATTAAGGTGACTTAAATATGAACTAGGACCTGGTCATCAGAGGTGGAGCTTCCCAAAACGTCCTAGTCAGTCTGTTCCTCTGCCTACAGGAGGGAGTTGACTGGACTGGACCCCTGAGGATAAGCGTTGGCCAAAAGGACCTGAGTCCCCATGAGCTCCCTAAGAACAGCTGGGTCTCCATTCTGAGATTCAGAAGGAGATGTCCAGGTGACCTAGCCTAACTGTGGCCCTCTGTTCAGTGCCCTGGGCTGGTTCCACCTGATATGAGACAGACAGCCAATAAAGCCTTGTCCCCTGTCATCTCTAACAGGAGGTCAAAGTCCAGCCCTGCAGGAAAAGTCCCGGGGTTCCCTGGAGTCAAGTCTGGGGTAGAGATCTGGAGTCAGGACTTTCTCGTGGTTCCCTCATTGTGAGGGCCCCACAGTTTCCTCAGTCAGGCTCTGCCTGAATTCCAATCATCTTTCTCAGGGCCATGCTCATGGAGAAGCCCCAAGAGTGTGGGCTATGGGTGACACCCTCAGACTGAGTTACATAAGAGCACACCTTCCTCTCTGGAGGCAGAGTCAGGTCAAGGACTCTGACCTTTTGTCAGTTTTTTTTTTTCCTTCCCAGTGTGTGTCCTGCGCTAAATGCTCCAACTCCAGCGAGGAGACACTTGCAGAAGGAGGAGATGAGTGTCGCCTGTGCCTGGTGGTCCTGTGTGTGTAAAATGGAACGGACCCCACCCCACCCCAGCGCCCGGAGGTCACATGATCACTTACCGTGTACTTCCAGATGCACGTGTGTTAGTTCCGTTTCCATTTCTGTGTTGAATGTTAGTAAGGTGTAGACTCCACTGTCGGCCTGGGTGACGTTTCTGATCAGCAGGGAGCCGCTGTAGAATACCGTTCTCCTACCGTTGTGTTGAGGCATCTTTGAGGTTGTGTTATCGGGTGTTAAGTACCTGGCAACTTCATAGCTCTTGGTTGGGTCTTTCTGTTTGTACCAGTAAAATGCCTGGACGTTGAATGGCATTTGATGCACAAATAGAACCGAGTTTCCGCCTTCAGCCACCTTGGGGGGCACTAGCTCAATAGTGAGCTCGGCAGTGGTGGGTGTATTCCAGCATGTTAAGAGGAAGGCTGTGAAGAGAGGAAAATCCATCAAAACGGGGACATAGTGTTTGGTGAAAAGATGAACTCGAGGTCCCACTGAGGAGGAGGAGGAGGAGGAGGTGGAGGAGGAGGAGGAGTGTTCATCTCTCGGCCTCTGTGTGTGGTGAGGGGTGTCGTCTCCCCGACTTGCTGCAGGACACCTCCATCACCTCATTCCCGACTCTCTCCTCAGTGTCTGCATGGCTCCCCGCTCACTGCCCTCAGGTCTCTGCTCACACGCAAGAGTTTACTTGGGTTTAGGGATGCAGTCCCTGACCTCGTCCTCTAGAGACCCTGGGTCATCAGTACCTGAATGTTCTTGGTTTGTTCCCTGTGTTTGCAGTCAACCCCTGGCTGTGCCTTCTAGAAGACCTGGCTGCTGTCTCCCTTGTAGCCCATGAGAATTAGGGCTTTGTGAGGACCGGGGTTAGGGAAGGGCCTTTGGGAAGACCATGTGCCTGGAAAAGACTCAGACTTCTATGGAAGAAAAATGAATAATTGAATGAATGAATGAATGAATGAATGAATGAGCAGGGCTGGGGGATGTCTGGGGCTTGAACAGAATTTTCAGTTTTAGAGCTAATGAGTGTTTAATATCCCAGTTTGATTTCAATTATTTTTTCGTGAATTTATTTGGGAGGTGTGTATGCGTGTAAGTGGCTGTCCGTGTTCTCTCTCTCTCTCTCTCTGTCTCTCTCTCTCTCTCTGTCTCTCTCTCTGTCTGTGTGTCTGTATACCATTGCGATGAAATTTCAGAAAGCCTAATTAAAATGTAAGCTCAGATAAATTCCTTCCCAGAAGGCATCCTACAAGACAGGTGAGGCTAAGATTTTATGATTTCATGGTAACAGAAAGGAGCTTGCCTCTCTTTCTTTCTAAGATTTATTTATTTATTATGTATACAGTGTTCTGCCTCCATGTATGCCTGCAGGCCAGAAGAGGGCACCAGATCACATTACAGATGGTTGTGAGCCTTCATGAGTTGCTGGGAATTGAACTCAGGACCTCTGGAAGAGCAGCCAGTGCTCTTAACCTCTGACCTCACCAGCCCCATGTTTGCCTTTTTCTAGAGCAGTGGTTCTCAACCTTCCTAATGCTGTGACCCTTTAATAATGACCATGTTGTGGTGACCCCCCCCAACCATAATTATTTTCACTGCTACCTTGTAACTATGATTTTGCTACTGTTATGAATCACAATGTAAGTATCTGATATACAGGCTACTGCTCTGCGCCCCCTGGGAAAGGATTGTTTGACCCACACAGGCGTGGTGACCCACAGATTGAGAACCGCTGCTCTAGATG